CAGTGATCTTTTTTTTTTAAATTTAAATATTTATTTTTTAAACCCCAAAAACACTGGAGTATGCTTCACCCTCAAACAGTTTACAGGACTAGTAACTCAAATGGACAATAAACCATACAGTTTGACCCTGTGTTGCGGTTGTGTCCTAAAGTTTCAATGAATCAATTTAGAAATGTGTTGCTTTTACTTTTACAAAAATATTCATTGAAACGACAATGTTTGTTACAAATTTATTTTCAGACTTACACAGATTATAAATTGTAACCAAGTTTCAGTTACATAGCAGGTGAAAGTTTGAACTGAATGATTACTTCAATATATAATGTGTTAAAATGATTATTATAATATAGGCACCAATGAAAATTTTTTTATGGTTATATGACATCACGATATCTTTCTCAAGTATTTGTATTATTTTAAAGAAAGAGAATGTAATGGCCACTTTGATGAAAAACTGTGTTCTTTACTTGAAGACCATTTCGTTCTAACATTTGGCAATGATTCAGCTGAAAAAAAAACCCCAAAACAAACTTATGTGCAAAGTCTAAATTGTACAGATCCAAATACTAAAAAAATAACTATGAAAACTAATTAATATCAATAATTCTACACCTACTAAAATATAGCCCCAACTCAAAACTTATGTATTGAGAGAGTCCTGGTGTGCTGCTGTGGGCTTTACAAATCGGGCTGTGAAATGCAAGGTCAGCAGTTCGAAACTACCAGCTGTTCCATGGAAGAAAGATGAGGCTTTCTGCTCCCTTAAAGATTTACAGCCTCGGAAACCCTGTACAGGGTCGCTATGAGTCGGAACCGACTCCACAGCACATAACCACCACCGCCATATACTAGGCTTAAAAGAAAAAGATATTACCCACTGAAAAGTACCATAAATATAACTGAAAATGAACTGTACAGTCTAACTTGCTTTTAAATAGATAGAACTCATCACACATTGATTTTCATATGAACTAGAAAATACTCATTTAAATACCTTTTCAAAAGGAAATTATACTTATGCATTGTTAGTAATGAAGAACAAAACATATAAATATTTCATAGAACCGTTTACTACGATGACAAATATGCTGGTGTAAATTATATTCATATCAGCTTTTTTAAGCTCTCCAAATCCAAGCATATATTATGCCGTTTTAGTTGGATATTTAAAAACGAAGCCACACTAATTTGTCCAGTATTACCAAACACCCATCCTGAGCTAAATGACATTGCTTTAAACTTCCAACCATGTTAAACAAGGGTAAATTGCCTCTTTTAAAAGCAGAGAGAAATGCTACATACCAAGAAATACCTGTATTTGCTAGATGTTGCCTGCAAAGGTCTCAAAAACAAGGCTTACAAATGTGTTAGTCATTGAGCTGCCCAGAGCATGGTGCCAACTTGGTAGGAGAATTCTTCTTTCCCAGGTTTCATTTCTGAGGACTTATTAAAACCATCTGTTTTAAGTAGATAGGACTTATTTCTACCAACAGTCATGTTTAGAATATGATTACATAAAACAAGTAAGTGTTTGATGTTTGGTGATTTATAAAGTTGAATTTAGGATGACTTTGAAAGACCTGTATGTTTCATGCGTGTACAGCTAACTAAAGATGAAAATATGAAAGGTATTCATCCTAGAAACTTAAGTTATAATAATACTTAAAAGCAAAACTGGATATCAGCATTTATTAGACTACAGATGAAGTGATAGTATTACAAATTACTCCTTACAAAAGAATTGCTTCAAAATATGAAATGATAAACACCATCACAAAACAGTGTTTCTAAATCTTCAGTCATCAATTGAGTTCAGCATTGTTAAACTTGAAGTAGCTTTGGTGATATGAAACACAGGTCAATGATATGATGTTTTTTGGGAGGATTCACTTGCTGAACACTTTTGAAAATTTTCAGTCAATTTCTTCACTAACTACCTGTGATGTTGGGACAGGCAGCTTCAGCCACAGCAATGCTTTTCTCAAGTACTTCTATTGCTTGATTTGTGCTTGCATTGTTCTCATCCTGCTGTTGAGACTCGGCAAATGCAGGTGTGATTATCATGGACAAACAACTCAGGGTTTGCACAAATCTTGCTCTGCCCCTTCTGTAGTTTCATTGGTTCAGGTTTCTTCCACATTGTAGTAAAATAAAGCTCCATTCAAGGTAAGTACTGTTTTCCCTGCTGGTGGGATTCATCATCACTGTGCCCTTCTGTGTTCTATCTCTTAAATCGATAGATATCTTCAGTCAAAGAAGAAGTTTTCTTTGACTTTTTTACAATGAATTTGTGTTTCAGTTCTTTATCCATAGGATGAAAAGAGGGATCTTTGTTAAAGTAAGAATCAATAAACTCCTTAAGGAATTTAGTAAATTCTCCAACAAGAGTTGGTGGGTTGTTCTTTAGAATAAAACACAGAACTCTCATTGGATGCACGTTGGAGTTAGGTGGCTCTCCCTTGGCTAGTTCAATGGCGGTAATCCCCAGTGACCAAATGTCAGATTTGAATCATACGCTGACTGTTGAACAACCAGGAGCCATCCAAAATGGTGTTCCTACAAAGGCATTTCTTATAATCTGTATATCTGTCAGCTAGCAAGCAACTCCGAAGTCAGCAAGTTTAACCTCTCCTTGTTCTGAAAGCAAGACATTGGCAGCTCTTATGTCCTGGTGAATTCTCTTTTCTGAATGTAGATAGGCCAGATCTTTCAAAATTTCCCTTAGCACTGGTGGTGGTGGTGGTGGTGGTGGCGGTGTGCCGTGGAGTTGTGGAGTTGGTTCCAACTCAGCGACCCTGAAGAGGGTTTCTGAGGCTGTAAATCTGAGGCTGTAAAGCCTCATCTTTCTTCTGTAGAACACCTGGTAGTTTCGAACTGCTGACCTTGAGGATAGCAGTCTGACTTGTAACCACTATGTTAGCAGAGCTTCTTTTTAGCGTGGTAACAATCAGCAACTCATCAAATGGACCAGTTCTTAGAAGATCTGGTGCCGAGCCACCACTCAGGCATTTCATTATTATTTATAACTTTGAACCCTTTAAATATGATCCTTAGTATTTTTTCACATATGACCTGTCACACTGACTCAAAACAGTTATTTCTTGCTAAATGTCTTCAACCTCATCTTTGGTTTCCTCAGTGTCTATGATTTTAATAGCAACCATTTGCTGGGTATGGTTATCAATTCTTTTGGAAACTTCTCCAATGGGACCTTTCCCAATGTGCTCTGAATTTTGTGCCCAGTTCTTCTGGATCAGCTACGTTATTCTACATCCCTGGCACTTGGACCACTGGTGAGCCATGACCCAGTGATCTTAGTTATGGTGATGCTGTTATCGGGAGTTGCCGGGAGTTGATTCCAACTCATGGAGCCCAGGTGTGTGCAAAGTAGAACAGCTCCATAGGGGATTCTTGGCTCTGATCTTTCAGAAATAGATCCACAAGTCTGTCTTCTGATATGCCTCTGGGTGGGTTTGAACTTAGGATCCTGGAAATTGTAATTATTTAAAATATCCTTTCTGAGCAAAATAAACAGTTCCCAATTTTTGCTTGTTTGTATGGTTAATTTTGCTAGCCTAGAAAACCCCACAGCCTAGGAACACTTTCTAGAGTGCTAGTGTGGTGCTGTGGGTTAATGGGCTGGACGGCAAGGTAGGTTTGAACTGCAAGGTTGGCCGTTTAAGCTCACCAGTTGCTTCTCGAAAACCCTATGAGTTGGAACCGACTCGACGGCACTTAACAACAAAAGGAACCATTCCTAGGTGCTGACTTGGCCTTTGTGAGCCATTTCCCTCAATATTTGGGTGCTGATTAATTGGTGGCAGGATTGGGGACCTTTCGTTGGCCCTGTAAAGGCGGGTGAGTGCTGGCACTGGAGAGAACTATTCCAGGAAGCCGACTCCACAGCAGGGTGACAGGCAAGGTGATTTGAGATTGCTCTGGCCCCGTAAGATACTGCTTCCTTCGTGGAAGGAGCCTGCTTGAGATAAAGCAGGTCTGAAGCTTCCTGGAAGGCTTTAGCAGGGCAGTTAACACTTCCTCTTCAGGAATTAGGATGGGATGCCCTGGAGGTAACAGGGTGAGTGACTTGGTTTTTCTTGACTCCCACTGTTGTTGTGAAGTGTCATCTAGTCTTTCAGACCCATAGTCACCCTGTATAGGGTTTCCAAGGAGCAGCTGGTGAGCTTGAACCACCAACTTGCCATTGAAACCAACCTTACAGTCCAGAGCACTAACTCACAGCACCCCACCAGGACTCCTTGATTCCTATGTTGTTGTTGTTGTTGTTGTTAAGTGCCATCGAGTAGGTTCCGGCCCATAGTGACCCTGTATAGGATTTCTGAGGAGTGGCTGGTGAGCTTGACCCACGGACCTTGCAGTTCAAAGGGCTTTGTAGTCTGGTGCATTAACCCACAGCACCACATCAGGACTCCTTGACTCCTATAGTCAGCACTTTCCTTCAGTGCTGAGGAACTGCCATCCCTAAAGGAAAGGGGTCTGATCCTCTCCAAGTCAAAGTTAACCAAGGGGCTGAGACTAGGGTGAGGCAAAAGAGGAGGCTAGGGGGTAAGATTTCAATGTTGCATCCGATGTGCCTCTCTTTTCTCACCCAATCCCATAGGCTTTGGGCCTGTGAAGGAGCCCTGGTAGCAAAGTAGGTTAATAAGCACTGGACTGGGTTAAGTGTTAGGCTGCTAACCTCAAGTTGACAGTTCAAATCCAGCAGCCCCTCTGCAGGAGAAAGATGAGGTTATCTGCTCCCATAAAGATTTACAGCCTCGGAAATCCCAGGGAACAGACAGTTCTACTCTGCCTGTAGGGTCATTATGAGTTGGAATTGGCTCAACAGTCACTGTTGTTAAGTTGCATTGAGTTGATTCCGACCCATAGCGACCCTGTATATGGTTTACAAGGAGCAACTGGTAAGCTTGAACTGCTGACCTTGCAGTTCAACCGGCTTTGCAGTCTGGCGCAATAACCCACAGCGCCACACCAGGACTCCTGGCTCAACAGTAGGGAGTTGTTTTTCACCTACCAGTAAACTCCAATTACAGAAATGGACAAGGAAATGCCTCCAGGGACCACTCAGCACTGTAATCAGTGGAGTAGGTGGGCTGGGTGGGCCTGGGGCAGGGTGGAGCATTGGAGTCAGTCCAAAGAAGGTGGCCTCTGCCCAGCTCTAGCTGAATTTTGTTAAGTAGGTCTTACGTGGTCAGACCTTAGATGTGAGAAAGCAGGATTTTAAAGTGGAATTCCCTAACCTTAAAATGTGGACTCATATAAATAAAACAAGCAAACCAAACTCAATTCGGACTCACAGCGACCCAATATAGTCACGACTGTACATGTTTGTGGGAGCAAACAGCCTCACCTTTCTCCCTTGGAGCAGCTGATGGGTTTAAACTGACATAGCCCAAGGCTTAACCTACAATACCACCAGGACAAATAAACAGCAAGGCTGTGTTTTAGCCTGGAGGTTGCCAGTTGATAACCTGTTATGATGTTGCTAGAAGGCAGATGCTGCTTGTTGCAAATGATAGAAGAAAGATGGCCTCGGGAGTGGGAGTTTTCTGTGTAACTCTAGCTGCTGGGGAAGGAGAAGCTATGAAGTCTATGCCTGCTCCTCAGAAGCCTGGCCACAGAACTGTCTGCAAAGCCTACTCGAAAGTCACAAATTACTTTCATCCCAGGTGTTCCCGACCTGCAGAGCCACTAACACCCTGGATGAACCGTCCTCAGCATAGTCCAAGAGAGGCGTTTCAAGAGTCCATTCATTTCAGAAATTTCCTGCAGATGTTCCTTTGGAACACTGGTGTAAACCAGTGGTTCTCATTCCTGGTAGCATCTGAGACTCACCTGGGGATTTGAAAGAAATGTTTAGATGGGAGTTCCTGGGTGGTACAAATGGTCAAACATTAGACTAGTAGCCAAAAGACTGGTGAACTAAGCCACCCAGAGGGCCTTCTGAAGACAGGTGTGGCCATCCGCTTCTGAAAGGCCCCAGCTTTCTGGTTGCCATGAGCCAGTCCACTTGACTGTGACTAACAACAGCAACAGACTGTGTACTCCAGGGTTGGTGGTTCAAACCCAGCAGCTGTTTCACAGAAACCCTATTCAGGGTTGCTAAGAGCTGGAAATGAGTCAGTGGTACTTAACAACAACATGTGTTTCTTTTGTGCAGCCAGGTTGAAGACCACTCGTCTTAACTAGTAGCAGGCCAGGGTCAGGGTCCCTGCCTGGTGCTTCTCTTTGGTCCCAAGCTGCATCAGGAGGACTGCAAGACATCACAGTGGCTTGGGTGCTGGACTTCATTTCCCCCTTTCTTTTTCTTTCTCTTTGAGGCTTTCAACAAGCTCTAGAACTTCTACATCCTCACTGATTAAGTGGGGATAATGGTATTTGTCCTTCGAGCCTCACAGGGCTGTTATCAGGAGAAATGAGGCAATAAATGAGAAACCTCTCGGCACAGTGTCAAGCATTATGCAAACAGTACTGGTGCTAGGATTGTGCACTCCTTTGCCAGGGTACACAGCTTTGATCACTGGTGATCCTTTCTGAAGTGACATTCCTAGTGTCCTGGCTCAGCTGGCAACTGGCACATCCTGACTTAGCTGAAGCCCACGGAACCTGCTGTGGGACCTCTGCCTCAACCTGCATAGCAGAAACCAGAGTCAGTGAACAGAGAGAAAGTCAAGATTTCAGGAAAATCCCTCCTGCCTTGGAGAGAGAAGGGAAAGAGAACTGTGGAAGAGAGAGTAAGGTAGAGGTCTTTGCCATTCTTCCTGCCCAGGGAGCAATTAGCAGGGAGACTTAGCCCAATAATTCAAACTCACCAGCCACTCCTTGGAAACCCTGTACAGGGTTGCTATGAGTTGGAACGGACTTGACAGCACTTAACAACAAAGAGCTATTTGAGATCTCTGGTTGATACATATGGTTTGTGCTCCGCTACTAATTGCAAGGTTGGTGGTTTGAATCCAGCTAGGGGTGCCGTGAAAGAAAGGTCTGGAGATTTACTTCAGTAAAGTTATGTGTGTTGTGTTAAATGCCATCAAGTTGGTTCCGACCCATAGCAACCCTATATAGGGCTTCCAAGGAGCAACTGTTGAGTTTGAACCGTCAACCTTGTAGTTCAAACCAACCTTTTGGTCCTGTGCTTTATCACACCAGGCCTCCCTTTCAGTAAGGTTGTTGTTGTTGTTAAGTTCTGTCAAGTTGGTTTCGACTCAGAGCGACCTCATATAGGGTTTCTGAAGAGTGACTGGTGAGCGTGAACTGCCGACTTTGCGGTTAAAACTGACATTGTAGCCCAGCACATTAACCTGCAGCGCCATACCAGGACTCCTCAGTAAGATTACTGCCACTGAAAGCTATTAAGTACAATTCTACTCTGGTACCCATGGTTTGGTTTTTAAGAGCTATGTGACAGCAAAATGAGGCCTCCCCAAACTAAAAAAACGTATGTAACGATAATCAGTATGACAAGGAGGGAACACAGTCTCAGCTCTGAGCCCAGCAGGGCACACAGAGTACAGTACGGGCTCTGCCTTCAGGAAGCTCTGTCTGATTGGGGTAGATAAAACTAGCCCCCCAGAAGACATTAAACAGTATCAGGCAGGCTGGCATGACTCAGTGTTACCTTATCTGAGGCCCCGGCTGCCACGAGGTGGTGGGGAAGAATGGACAGAGTGCCGGCAGGGCATCAGCACTGGGTTTGAGTCCCAGCTCCAGACTCAACATCAACCTGACTTGGGCACCATGGCTCACCTGCTGGATCTCAGGTTCCTCGTCTATGGAGAAAAGGATTTGTCTAGACCTCAATGGACTCTGAGCACAGTTTGAGTTTGCCCTGTGGAGGTGCAGATGCCTGGGAGACTGGGGTGAGTATCTGTGGTCAGGGGAGGCTGATGGGGAAGGCAGGTTAGCCAGGCTTTTTGTGAAGGAGTAATTGATCAGATGGAAGTGAGAGGAGAAGGTAGGCCAAGCAAGGAAATACAGGCAGAGGCTACAGACAGTGGGGGAAGTGGCCTTCCGGTGACCAATGGCCAGGAGGAAGAGATAAGTGGCTAAGAGTGGTGTCAGGTTACCGATAGCCTCAGAAAACGGGCAGAAAGGTTTAAATTGGCTCCCTTGGGAGGGAAGGGGCCATGGAGGGATTTTGGGCAGGGCAGTGATGTGATTAGGATGCTTTTTAGCATGATTAATGTGGCCTGGTACTCAGAATGGCCTGGTGGCAGGACGCCAGGACTCGGAAGGACAGCTAGAAGCTTCTTGTAATATTTCTGGCATGGGGTGATGACGACTGGGAACTGGGAGGAAAACCTGGGACCTGACTGCATTTCAGAGAGGGAATCACCTTGCTCAAAGGTCAGGGAAAGAAAGCAGAGCCCACTTTCGTGCCTGCAGGGGGAACAACTCAGAGTAGCCTAGCCATTTGCAGGGTCATACTTCTTGCTAGTTCCAGCTCAGATAATGGAGGCATTGGTGATGGTGCTGGCTGGTGGATGACCTAAGGGTATATCTACTTATGCCCATTCAACCTACCCTGTGCTAGATGGGGGAGACAGAGCAATGAGCAAAATATGGTCCTTAACCCACAAGGAGTTCCAGTCTTGTGAGCTTGGTAATCACACTTCCAGGACTCAAATCAAATGGCAATGGAGAACAACCATCTTGTTCTCATTTACCCAGTTTTGCTGTTTATGGTCTTCCAGGTAGTGGAGGTTCTTGTTGGGTGCCAGAAAACCTCCCTGGTCTTGGTTTATAATACTATCTCGGGGCAGATCCACGTTTTGTGAGGCCTCTCCAGACAATAATCCAAAATTGTTGTCTGCTGTCACGTTGGCCCCTGTCTCATGGTGACCCCACATGTACAAGGGAATATAAAGTTGTCTGATCTTGTGTCATTCCCGTGACTTTGCAGATCGGTTCATTATGATCCATAGGACTTTCACTGGCTGATTAGTTTGTCTTCTGGAAGCTCCATTGAAACGTGCAGAATAATAGCAACATTCAGGCCTTCACTGATAGGTGGTGACTGTACATGTGCCATCGAGTCGATTCCGACCCATAGAGACCCTCCATAGGGTTTCCAAGGAGCAGCTGGTGAGTTTGAACCGCTGACCTTGCAGCTCAACCGACTTTGCAGTCTGACGTAGTAGCTCACAGCGCCACACCAGGACTCCGTACATGAGCTATAGTGGCTGGGAACCGAACCTGGGTCAGTATGTCATCCCAAGATCTAACCCAATCTAACCATTGAGGGAGGTAGGTGGGTACAACTGAGAGGACAGCAAACTTCAGGGATGAGGACCAGCTCGTGGATCTATCATTTCTTTACCTGTTGAATCTGGGCAATAACCATTTCTTTGTATTTTACGTCATGGCATCTTGTAAGGAAGTAAAATCCAGCACACAGAAGAAATTACCTGAGAATCTTACCGTTTGCTGTCTTTCTTGTAGCTAAATGAACACCTGAGCCACCTTCCCTGTTTTGAAACTTAAGTTTTCCAGGGATCCTTTTCACCCAAACTTCCTGGGCCCCCAACAGCTCTATAAAAAAGATGGCACCTGGGGAATGAGCGCCTGAACGATTCCCCAGATCCCAAAGGTGGCCAAGAGGAAGAGACCTTGGGTATGGAGGAGGCCATGGGCAGCGCCCCAAGTCCGGTACACAGCGCAAACGCACCCGGGGAGAGCTGCAGAGACCAGTGACTGGGGGCGGGAGCTAAGGGATTCGCACTTGCTTTATCAATGCAAATTCGTCAGTCAGATTAGGTTGTGTTGGGCGAGGGTCACTGCAGCACTGTCAGGGTAAGGTGGGGAGTGATGTGCCACCTGCGCACGCCCCGGTCGGTTTCTAAACCCGCGAGAGAAACGAAGCGCGGCGACCGAGTGCGAGGACTGCATTGTCTCCCGGCTTGCCGCTTCCGCCGGCGCAGGCCTCGCAAACTTTCCCCGCCCATTTCTCCCCATCCGGAACTCCTAGTAGGAGACTCAGGAAAAAGATAGCCGCTTTCAGGCTACCCCGGGGTCCCAAGCCGACCCTCTGAGGCCAGGCCTTACTGCCCTGCCCTTGTCCCGGACGAACAGGGCGGTGCCGTCTTCTCCCCGTTTTCCCAGTCTGCGCTTCACCAGCTGGCTCGCACGGCGCCACCACGCGTGACGGTGCGCGCCGGCGAGAGCCTCCCAGCCCCGGGTGTCCCCGCCCCGACTCCCTACGTGGGGGACGTGTAGTGATGCCTGACTTTGGAGGATTTCGCAGCGTCGCCCGCCCCCTTTCCTGCGCAGGAGGGAGCGGCCCACCGCGCCCCCCTCCCTGGCCCGGACGCCACTGTCCCGTGCTGCAGAGGCGCGCGGTAGCCAATGGGCGCGGAGGAGGTGGGCTGGCTCGCGACTATCAGCCTCCGGGGGACGGGAGCGCGGAGAGAGGGTGCGCGCTGAGCTGCTGCCGCGCCCCGAGTGTTGGGGGAGGAGCCGCGGGGGAAGGAGGAGGAGCCATTGGGCCGCCGCCGGAGGACCACAGCTCTCCCAGCTTGAAGAGGACCGACACCCGCCTTGCGCCCAGACCGCCAACATGATTGCCGCGCAGCTCCTGGCCTATTACTTCACCGAGCTGAAGGATGACCAAGTCAAAAAGGTGTGCTCTCGTTCCGGCTCTCTGGCCGCAGCGTTGCATTCCAACATCCGCTCGCTGCCGCCTCCATCCTCCCGCGCCTAGCCTCCCCCAGGCCTGCATGTGGTTGGACTGCCAGGCGTTGGCGAAGGGTTTCTCTCTTAGATTCTCCCAGCCTTGTTAGTGTATGGGTGTGTGTGCGTATGTAGGGGGTAGCCCCGAGGCTGGACTGCTTGCTGCAGTGCCCTTGAAATGGGTTGTGGATGTCAGATGCTGCCCCCACCCCCCCGGCCTTTGGGGAGGTGGCTGCGTGGGACCAACGGGCCCGTCCACAGGGCTTGTTTGGAAGTGTCCGAGTGCGGTGGGCGGAGATGTGATCCCCATGCTGGGGAGATGAACAAGGAGCAGCAGGGGTGGTGGTGGCTGGAGGCCAGACATCCCTTATTTGGGGTTCCCGGAGGAGGGGGCCCCGGGGAAGCTGTCACCGGGCTTTCCCAGCAGTTGCGGCTGCACGGTTACCCTAGGACTAGGTGACCCGCCTGGCTTCCTGGAACGGGAGGGGCACCGAGGCCACTGGAAACTTTGCTCATAGGCCTCAGGTATGGAGTTCTACGTGTGAATGGAATTTTTTGTTCCTCTTCATGACCGCTCTATTAGTCGTACTTTCTGTGAGCTCTAGGAGACTCAAGTCAATTGAGTGGGATGCCGGCCTTACCATGTATGTTGGTAATATGTGTGCGCTTGCACATGAATGTGTCTTCCTACCCTTAGTTGGGCGTTGCTGCCTGTAGAGTGTGAAATATTATCCACTGGCAGACCTTAAAGGTATACCTCTCTTTTCTGCCAGTTTTGTTAACCATGTTTTTAAGAAATAGCCCAAGTCTGGCACAGGCTTCTGACCCTTCCTCCGCCCCCTCCCCCCCACACACGTGGGTGCTGTCACTGCTGGGGTGGATGGATAAAATCAGCCTCCTGCAGGTGGGAAGTAGGAGCAACAGGCCTTGGTTTTCTGTCCTGCAAGCCGCTGGGTGGTCATTCTGCGTTCAGTAGGAAATGGGAGGGTAACTTAGGACAGTGACCTCCTCAAGGTCACCCAGTGGTTTGTTTGCTTTGCCTGGGTACAGATCTCCCACTTCCCTCCACCAAGAACTTGACCATCTCTCCTTCTGGAAGTCAGTTTATGGGGAGGTGCTGAGAGGCAAAGCCCCTGGGGATGCCTTGGATGCTGCACTGGGTGGGAACTAAGTGGGGTTCTTTGGAGATGGGCCTGGGACTCAGCTTTAGAATTTCAGAGTGCCACTTGCTTTCTCTGGTTAGCTGCCCTCCAAGGTCCCTCGCTGCTTTAAGCCATAGCAACTCAGGTTGTTCATGTGTGGGACTCACACTGCTCCCATGTAGCATTCCATGGTACAACGTGCAGCGTCCTGCTGGCCACTGAGCTCAGGCAGCACTGCGTGCCAGAACTTGATTTTCACGTGTTCTCTTTAGAGATGTTGTACATTGATTTTTTTCGCGCTGGGGTGGCGGGGAGGAGGGGTGTGGGCACAGCGTTAAGATGTGAAGTAGAAAGTCGGGCCTTCCAAGTATTTCAGGGCAAGCTTGAAACAGGTCTCCTGAAGCCAACAGTGATTTTGGAAACCTCCACCTGCTCCATCCACCACCACCTGTTTGATGTCCGTTCCCCAGGAGTTGAGCTGAGTTGAGATTTGAATTGTACTCAGTGGGGTCTAGTTTAGCTCCAGACCCCTCCAGTGCCTGATTGACATATGTACTCTATCTACCTGGCCCCTGTAGTAGATATCTGCGTGTGACTTCTGAATCCGTTGGTCTTAAGTCTTTCCTTGATTTAGATACTGTGATTTTGGCATGCCTTCCACCTTCAGGCCTCAGAACCTTGCTGGAGGAGGCCAGATAAAATTATTTAATAAAAGGAGATTCTTAAAAACAAAATGACTTTCTTGCCCCTCACCAGGTGTTTTCTCTGGAGGGAGTGAAAATTCCTGCCTGGGGGTCACCTTAGCCTGCATAATGAGCTGTGTGGCCTTGCCGGGCCTGGGTGTGGTCTCCTGGAAGCTTCCTGGGTCTCTTGAGCACATAGCCAGTGGTTTTTTTTGAGATCACCTGGTCGGACTGCATCAGCTCTCAGGGTCTTAGCATTTGTTAGAGACCAGCCCTTCCCACTCACCACTCACCGTGGAGATGGATGAATCCTGTGCACCCTGTGGGGGCAGGGATCTAGGGAGGGTGGCCAGCTTAGGCAGCCAT